CCTTTCTAAACTTTAAATTGTCCCCCAAGATTTTCTACCTCAAAGCCATTAACAAAAACAACTAACCTAATCTTACTAACAATTCTACATGTCTACATGTCTAAATTCTTTCTAAGGGTGGTGGTTGAGTCATTAATCTGCTCCAGCAACAATGCTTGGAAAAAGTCAATCACTGTTATTGTAAGTACCAGTAACACTACCCAGTGAGGGGCTTGAGACCCCTGAGAGTTTTCATACAGCCCTTAGATTATGAGGGACATGGTAGTCACGAAGGCAACAATCGGAGCTGTGCTCACTAACAGCACGAGGTCCTCAGGACATGGAGTCCTCGGGGCTTTGCCTCTCCAAGGCTCACAAAGGCGTGGCTTTGCCAACCACCCAGCTGTGTTCCATGAGTCCCAGTGCTGTCTGTCGGTCCCCTCACACGTCCTCTTCTCTTTTTCCTGTTGTGACCCACCGAGTCCAGTGAGTACCGCCCCTGTGTGTACAGTTGCAGGATCCACCCCATGGAGCAGGGGCAGCCTATCTGTGTCCAAACCCTAAGGAAAAATGGTTCTCTCTCCCCCAGCAGCCATCAACTGAAAACCACTTCTCAGGAAGGGGTGGGGCCTCGTGAGTCCTTGCCTATCCCTCCACGCCAGAGTGTTGACTAGTTTGATACTGCGAAGGTCACATTAGCGGCCATGAGCTCATGTTTACAATGGCCATGTCACGTCCCAATGACAGCATCTCACAGCTCTCCTCCCCCTCCTCCCGGCTCTTACCTTTTTTTTTGTTCTGCTCCTTCTCCCATGATGTTTTCTGAGGCTTGAGGCAAAAGATTAATACAGATATTCCATTCAGGGCTCAACAGTCACGTAGTCTCTTACTCTCAGCCCGTTGGCCAGTTATGAATCTCGGCATTAACTACTATCTACAGCAGAAAGACGTTTCTCTGAGCAAAGTTAAGAAGAGCACAGATCTGTACATATGAATATTTTGAAGGCAGTTTGACATGACCACTCGGCAGAATGCCACCAACAGGCTTCTCCCACTGTAGGGTCCCTGCAGGTGGCATGGCTGGCAGCGAAATGACCCGTGAACAAGCAAGGAAGAAAACTTTGGGAGTTTGATACCACGGTCAGCACATTTAAGCACAGTAAAATTAAAAAAAAATAAGTTTCCTGTTATAATACAATCTCCTCTGCATAAGGAGGCATAATTATATCGAAACTCAACTCAGGGTACATGTTATTTCTTTCAAGAACATGGGTTCCAGAGATAGGTTGCCTGTACTAGCTTAAGTGCCTAAGGATCTGGAGTGGTCTCCGTCGCACAGATAGCGTAGAGGTCATTTGGGCTATTAGCCACCTCTCGTCCTCACTGTGAGAGCTTGATACAGCCTGGCCCTCCAAATAACAATCACCAGGCTGTCAACCACCTGCAGTTCCCAGCCTTTGGGATGGAAAACCAGGCTTTACATCCTTTCCTTTGGAAGAACAGTCCTGTGTGCTTAACGTTCCTGTTTTCCCTGGTGATCTGTGGGCACAAGGACCTCTGTGCTCCCAACATCCCTCCATTTTCTTCTCGGAAGACCAATCCATAGATGGTGCTGCGTGCTTGCTGTAGATGGACAGGAAGTTCAGTCTCTAGTTGTCTGGTAGTGGTTCAGGAAACAAAACCAGAGGCACCAGCAGCTTAGACTCTGAACTCCTACAAACTCCTTTGGATATCAATTGTAAAGGAAGTCATAAATGAGAATAAAGAGAATAATGGAGATGTTCACCACCGAACTGTCTGCACTGTGATGATGAGAGGGCACATCAGCACAGGCCCTGGGTTCCAGTGGTCTCCCCTGGTGGGGAGCACGCACGCCACGGAGTATGTGTCAGCACTGGCAAACAGTGGCTGGGTAGCTGAGCAAGAGAAATATGTGGGGGAAAGTGCATCACGTTATTTTATAGACGTTGAAAATACAGACACAGGCCTGGAGAGAGGCTCAGTGGTCAAGAGCACACACTGCTCTTAGAGAGTACTGGGGTTCAGTTCCCAGCACTTACTCCCAGCTTCTCACAGATGCCTGTGACTCCAGCTCCAGGGGATTTGATGCCTTTTTCTGGTCTCTACAGACACAGCACTCATGTGCACGCACATGTGAGCACACACACACACACACACACACACACACACACACACACACACACACCCTCAAAAAGAAATACAGTCACAAGGGAGAAATGACTCTTTTTGTAAGATTTCAGCGGAATTCAGGATTACATATCAAATGCATTGAGTAGTGGCCTTAGTTTGAAGAAATCAAGTGGAATTTTTTTTTATATGTAGAAGAGTAAATGGAGTAAAAGTGTGTGCACAGATAGATGACAGCCGTGCATTGACATATCTGTGAAGAAACTTCTATATTTTATTCTCCCACACATCAAAAAAGGAGGAGG